CCCGCCGCATGTGCTGCGGCCGTAACGAGTCGCTGGGGTGCATGTCCCAAACACTGCGTCCACCAACTTGCACTGCCGTCAAACACGGGCTGCAAGAGTCCCCCACCGCCGCTGCTGTTGGTGGCGGGGCGTTGGTCGAGCATGCTGAAGAAGTCGCCGTAGGCGCTGTCGATCACGTTGACCTCGGCGTTGGTGCGCGTGAGCTGGTGCTGGGTGAAGGGCCACCAGCACGTATCGCGCGTGCGCTGGGCCATGCTGCCCAGCTCGCGGATGCGTGCAGCGTGTCGCTCGCGCAGATGACGCACCACACCGTACACCCCATCCGCGCTCTCCTCCGCCGACTCGGACGTGCGCCCCGCAACGAGGCCCTGGTAGAAGCGCGCCATGGCCGCACGATCGGCAGCACTGTCGATGTTGCGCGTGGGTGGCGGACCGTACGTGTTGGAATCGTTCGGACCACCTAGACCAAACACGGGGATGTTGTGTTCTTCCGCAAAGAACTTGCGCAGGTACTCGACATTGCCGTAGCGCGGCGAGGGGAAGAGCAGCACCGCCTCCACGTCGTATCCTGCCACCAGCAGGCTTTCGAATGCGGACCTTGTGGTGCTAATCCCACCGAGCTCGGCCGACCCCACGAGCACCGTTGGAATCCGAAGTGGACGCAGCAGATGCGACTGGGACAGTCCGCTTGGGCCCGGGGAATGCACGCCGCCGGCAGTCTCGACGTACGCGACCGCGCCCTCGTGCTGTGCTGCCGCAGCAGCGTGGATCCAGTTGCCGACATCGCGCACAAAGTCCTCGTCGCTAGGCGGTGCAGGTTCCTGCCCCGTCTCCCGCTCCGCCAACTTGGCTCGACGCTCGAGCTCGACCGCAAGGTGGGGGCTCACTGGCTCGCTGAACCTGTACAGCGTCTTGTACTCTGCCCGCGGAACGTAGCGCGACACGTGTGCATCGTCGGCGTCCGTCAGCGCACCCGTCGAGACCGGCTTCAGATAGTGCACGCGCTCGCCGAGCCCCTGCGCCGATGCCGCAAACACATCCTCCGGTCCCGCCGAGGAGGAGCCGAGCGGCAGCGCAGACGACGCCAGACACAGCGCCGTCGTAAAGATGGTCTTGCCCACATCAGTGTTTGCGCCAAACACCTGGTGCAAGCGCAGGTGCGGGTACAAATGCGCCATCCCGACCTTTTGTTTCCGAGTTGCTTCGAGCAAGAGATGGTGGTGCGGTTGATGGTCGAGAAGCAAAGTGAGCTTAGACGAGCATGTTGCTGATCCCCAACAAACGCTCGCCGGTTCTTCTTGGCCCGCCTGAGCCGAGAAATTCGGCGAAATGCTCAGCGCGGCAGGCGCGCCAAAAAAAGGGCCAACCGGCTCTGCAGATCAGCAGACAGCCGCAGAGAGAGGCCGTGCGCAACGCGATACGCGCCCCAGCCGCCAGAGCTTCCAAAGGCGGCGGCCCTTCATCTCGCATCGGATCCCAATCGGCCCCCTGCCATCCGAAGCCGAGTCATACCCGCAAAGCCAACCCCCAACCTATCCAACAGTGCGACGGCCAGCCACACTTTCACCTCCAGCATGAATATTTACACTGAATCGAAAATTGAAGGTCCGTCTCGACGAGGAGCTGCCTATCGCTAGTATGTACAGATCAAAACGAGACGCACAATGTCACAGCGCCGAACCTGCGGCCGTGAGAGAAAGCAAAAAAACAGAGAAAAGTCCATGACCCAGCTGCATCTTGGGCGGTACGCATCACAGACGGACGAGTGGGGATGGTGCAGCACCAAAGGCGCGCATCGATCGGCATGGAAGCATCGGATCGAACCGAGACGAAGGCTGCAGCACGCGCAATTTCGACGCTGCGCCACGCGGCAACGCACGCAGAGCCGGCTGGGCGCCGACGTTCTCCTTTTCGTCCCCAACGTCGGTCGCGCCTGGCCGCGACCGCACGCGAATCGTCGCTGCTCCAGCTGAAGGAATCGCGAAAGGCTTTACCGTGATCGTGGCAAATCCGCCTTCGTCCACGACGACGCTCGCGTATCGGTCCGCAGCGACACAGACGGCCTTCCGAAGCCCCATCGCAACCGCATGCTCCGTGCCAAGAAGCGTCAGCACCCAAAGGCAGTCGTCGTCCGAAGCGATCGATACCTTGACGCGAGCGCCACCGTGCTTGTGGATCCACGCATGCAGCGCCTCCAACGGATCGTCGCGCCATTGCTCGTCCGAGCTTGTTTCGCCGTCGCCGTCGTCCTGAGCGGATCCATAGGTGCTGGAGAGAGGAGCGCCCTCCATATCGCGCCTACGGTCCACATCGGGATCGCGCGGTTCGGCTGCCGCTCGAGGCCGCGCAGGGAGGAAGCCACCGAGGCTGGTGCAAGCGGTGATTCGACGGATCGAGATGGTCTGGTCCGGCGGCGCATGCACCTCTGACCACGTAATGCTGTGCGCGCGCCGCGGTGGCGATCGACTGCGGCCACGGACCGGAGCCTCGTCGGCCTCATCCTTCTTCGCGAACGGAGAGAAGGAGAACGAGGCGTTGAAGATGCCTTCACCGAAGCCAACGCCCGTGCCGATCTTGGGCTCTTCGGAGCTGCGTTTGCGCACGACGGGCGCGTGGATGTGCTGGGCTTTGCGTCCGTCCGGCTCTGCGGCCGCTGCGGCCTTGTTGCGACTCCCCTTTGGCCGATGGGGTCCGCGCTGGCAGGCGCTCAGCGCATGTGACCAGTTGCCCCAGAACCCAGACGAGATGCCTCCAAAGATCTCAAACTCGACGCGCGCGCCGCGGGCAGTATCGCGCGACACGGCCACCGCCCAGTCCGACGTACGGTCCTGGCCGTAGATGAGCGCCAAGTCGTCGATGCCGATCGCCTCGATGCGGCCGTACGTGTCGTAGATCCACTTGTGGTGCGCCTTGATGTACGCCTTGAGCACACCGAGATACTTGAGCCTGGTACGCTCGGTAGGATCGCGTGGGATGAGGATGGCGCCGTCACCGCCCGAGCTCTCAAAGCCAATCTTGACACTGGCCGGGGTGCCTGGAACGGTGGCACCCACGTCAATGCCGAGGCAGCGATAGTTGGACGACATGCGTGGACCCATGTCAAAGAGCTTGGGCACCTCCTGATCGACAGCCAGCGGCATCGGAGGGTATGGGCCTTCGGGCGGCGTATCTGAGCGGAGCTTGCGGTGGGCGAATGTTGGAGATGTCTGCTTCATCGCGGCCGACAAAAGCGAGTCGGATGCTGCCGACCTCGACATCGGAACAGAGGCCAGAGAGGAGCCGATGCTCGACGTCGCCAACGATGATCGTCTGGACGATGCCGCTACTGCACCAGCAACATGACTAGACTCGTCCAGGTCCATCCAGTCCGAAGCGTTGGATCCAGCGCGCGGACGCTCGCGTGAGGCGGAGCGATCCGTCTGACGGGCGAGGCTGATGTCAGCCGCATCGGACAAGGCGGCGGGACCATCGACGGCGTTGTAGAGGACGATGAAGGAGCCATCGCGAACGTAGCCGACGTCTCCAAGGCGAAGCGGGGACGGGTTCCAGAGGGGCAGACCTTCTCCCGCAGCGTACAAGCAGCTCGCGTAGATGTCGGCAAAGCTGGGCATAGAACCGACGGAGTGCAGGAGAGGAGAACCGGTGTGATGCGTCGTTACAAATGGACGTCTAGACGCAGCAGACTACAAAGGCCAACTGTATGAGGGATTGATATGAGGTTTTTTGAGTGTTTTTTGTTGGTTTTTTGCGTGAAGGAGAAAGAAAAGGTGTTTGATGTATGAAAGATCGAGAAGCGTGGAGAGGAGGAGGATGAAAAGACGACGTTGGGTTGACCACGTCCAACGTCTTTTGTGCTTACGCTATGACAAGCGAGAGAGCACGAGTCGAGATGATGATGATGAAGGTGTGGATGTCTAGGAAGTATCCTCTATATGAGTTTGAGGAAGGGCGGATGGACGGAATGGTAAAGGTGGTGGTGGTGGGAGGAAAAGGCGAGTGACGGGTAGATGGAAGGCTTTGGGTGACTGTCGGCTGAGCCCGTGCGCTTGAAATCGGCTGCGCTTCGAACCTTAATCGTGATGGTGAGGAGGCGGTGTGCAGGATGGCTAACGTACGTCGCAGCGTCGACAGTGCGCTATTGCTCTCAACGGCGATGCAGGCTGCTAGTCACCTGCTGCGGCTATTTTGCACCACCTCGCGGATGGGCTAGATGTCGAGCTCGATTGGTAGAGTTGGAGACGGCGCTGGATGAGAGCACGGAGCTTTCGGCGCTAATGCGGCTCGTCTAGGCGAGCGGAGAAGAAGCGAGCGCTGAGCAGACAGTGCGATTGTGCTGATGTACGGCTGTATGCACGGCGATGCACGCCAAAAGTGTTGGTCTGCGGATGCAGCGGCTGCAGCTGCGGAGCTGCCTTGGCTAGTCTGCCTGCTGGGCTGGGCTGGACTTGGCTGGGCTGAGTCGCGTTCGGTCGGCGAATTTTTTGGGTGCGCTTCGACACGCGTCCGGCGGTGTTGGTCTCAGCCGGCCTGCAGCCGAAGATGCAAAATGTGGAGGAATCGCCTCGCAGTCGAGTGATTGCAAAGGTCTGGCTACGAAGCAGACTTCGGGCAAGACCGATTTCCGGGGCCGGCCGCGAAACGTGGTGCGGAGCTACGAGATGAAAGATGTACAGAATATGAAAGTGCAGCGGAAAGATGAAAGACGATCACTAATCCCACCAACGAAGAGCTGCTCTTTTCTGGATGGCGCCACTCGTGGATGCGGGGGTATGCTCTTATACCGTTGGACGCTCGATGTATGCGTTTGTAGAATGCAGGCGAGAGTGTCCTCCATTGCCGAATGTGCCTGCTGTTATCGACGCGGTCTCGGTGGCAAATATGAGCATGGCTGCGGCGATTTTCCCGCGATGCAGACTCGCCGTAAGCCCTAGCGAGCGTTGGTGTGCCTTGCCGACGGAAGAGCATCTGGCGACTATCCGCCGTTCAGCCGGGGCAGTGCAAGAGGCTAGGTCTCGCTCGTCGTCATCGCCATAGACGCCTCGAGAACACCGCCGACCATGGCTTGCCCCGCAGACCAACACGACGGCAGCGACTGAGCCTGTTACCCTTGCGCACACAAAGCTTTGTCGAATAAGCTTAGCTCCATCTTGATCGCGCGGTTGCGAGGGCAGGCTATGCAGACCAGAGCCAGTATCCACTGCAGTATCTGCAGCAGGTGACGACGGTGTCGCGTCGCATTCGACCCCTCATTGCGTCAGTGTCCCCACCAACGCGGCCCTCCCGGTGCTGTAAGCTTTCTACGTTCACTAGACCTTGTGGGAACGCCAGGGACCTCCGTCTTCGGTGCCTCTACGCTCCTGCTCACTGCTCCTGCTTCCCCTTCTGCCTGGCTGTGACGATAGGTTCGAGTCATGCACCCCACACTCCACTGCATGGCCCCACTCAAACACGAAACTCAACGAGTCACACGCCCACACTCCTATCTGGCAGCCAAGGACTTGGCTAGCGTGAGAAAAACAGACTCAAGCTTCGAACGCTATCGAGCATGCACCAAACTGTGATTGCTCAAAAGCGGCATGGTGTGAGGATGCGCCTCCGACAAAGTGCCGGATCAGCCGGGAGCGCGCTCGGATGAACCGACGCTGCAGTCATGGCTGCCTGCGCGCTATCACGGCTGCTGCTGCTGCGACTTTGCGTCGGCATGGATGGAGCAAAAGTAGTGCATCACCGAGCCGCTCACCGGGTTCACCGCCACCACGCTGTTGCCCAGCCGCTTGTGGCACTGCGGGCAGGTGCGCGACTCGCCCACCTTGACGCGTCGGCTCTGCAGACGGCACAGCGTCTCCTCGACCTGCCACTGTCGGTTGGTGCGGATCTCGCGCACCACACGCGCCTCGTGCTGCCGCCGCGTCAGCTCGCGCAGATTCACATCCACGAAGCCTGCGATCTGCGACACCGGCACCGTCGCAGGCAGCATTGCCAGCGCCGCGCCCAGATCGATCCGCGCCGCATGACGTGCAATCAGTTCCAGCGCCGCGTCCAGCTGGATCGTCTTGCCGCCCGTCGCGTCCAGGTAGATGCGCAGCAGCGTCAGAAACACCTCCGAGTCCGCGCGCTGCTTCTGCTCCTCGTCCACCAGCAGGCTCTGCTGGTGGTTCGATCGGCTC